CTCACTGGGGGATTCTACGCAGGTGCTCTACCACTGAGCAACCCCACCATCCCCTCACTGGGGGATTCTACGCAGGTGCTCTACCACTGAACCACACCCCAGCCCCTCACTGGGGGATTAAGGGAGGTGCTCTACAACTGAGCTACACCCCACCCCCTCAGTGAGAGATTCTAGGCAGATAGTCTACCACTGAGCCATGCCCCCAATACCTCACTTGTGGATTCTAGGCAGGCTTTCTACTAATCCTACATATTTCCTTAGGACTTAATTCTAAATTACATTTTATCATAGAATACTTATTCTCTCAGCAATGTTAAGGCTCTTACTAGTATACAGAAAATGTATTTACTGTTATATGTGTGCCTTATATCAGGCACAAAGTTGAATTCAAATAAGTTTTACTAGCTTCATTAGTAGCATGATATTTTATATGTTTAGGTTTTATGTGATAGAATTATATATTATTTCTCTCCTATAGTATCACAAATATTAGATATTCCCTCTTCAATCAAGTTAACTGGTATTGTTGACACTCAACAGTCTTGTGTTTCCTTGGTTTTAGTTGGAATGACATTCTAATTAAGAATGCCCTTTCATGGGGTTAACACAGAAACTCACAACTGGTCAAAGTGTAGAAAATAAGTGTCTGAGGAAATCTATATCATAACCCCTTCAAGGCTCAGAGACCATCATCTAGGAGAGGGAATATAGGAGCCAGAGGTCATGAAGGACAAGCCCAACATTGTCTTCTGGATGAGACCAGACCACTTTATTCATGAACTCATAGCAGCTGTACTTGTCTGAATAGACCTGCACAAGATCAAGCCGGTCAACATTCCATAATAGAATGGGAAGGGACAGGAGCGTCTACCCATAGCTAAGGAGCTCTTGACAAATGATGGCTTCTGGGAGATGGAGACTAAGTTTTCTTTAAGGATGTGGACCTTGGTAGGTCAAAGACACTCCAGTGGATGGTCACTCACCCATGAAGCACAAACTGGCATCGGGGAATTATTTTTTTAAAAGAAGGCAAAAGATGAGAGGGGTGTCATCTGGATCTCAGAGCAATTATGGAAAGGAATGAAGTGAATATTATCATAACACACTGTATGCATGTGTAACTCTCAAAAATTAATAATATTATGGCTGCAGAGAAAGGGAGAATCAGGTTTCTACAGGGACAAAACCATGATAGATTATCCAATCCCAAGTGGTCATCCCTAAGCCCATATACATAGGAGCACCATTAAATGGATTCAATAGGTTTTATTGCTTTGTGTGTGTGTGTGTGTATTGTGTGTGTGTGTGTATTGTGTGTGTGTGTGGCAATAATAAAGAATAGATCATGAATTTGAGAGGGAGTCAGGGAGACATAGGAAGAGTTGGAGTCGTGAGAGAGGAGTGGAAATTATGTAAATACAGTATTCATGTATGAAATTCTCAAAAAATTTTCCTTATGGTCTTGCACCAAAACCCCTGGCTCTTACAATCTTTCCACCCCCTCTTCCAAATGGTACCTGAGCCCAGGGTGGGTGAGGTTTAATATAAGTCCTATCCAGGGATACACACTCCCTCTGCAGCCTCTTATTCTCTACATTTTGGCCAGCTGTGGCCTTCTGTGTTCATTGCCTCTGTTGGCATGAAGAAGCTTCACTGATGAGAGCTGAGATCATACGAACTTACAGCAATGGTGGCAGCATGCACAAGACCATGCAAACTCAGCCAGAACATCCAATACAGAAATGGAGGAAACCAGCATAGAAATGGGAAATGGGCATGAGGTCCCAACCTTAGCCAAGGACAGCTGATCAATTCTGGGTGAGGAAGAGCTGATCTTCTTTAACTAAGTGAAGCTAGACAGGCTGGACATCCTCCAGTGGAAGAACTCACACTGAGGGACATCTGGGTGTGCACACTTGTCTCTGTAGTCCTTAACAGATATGGCAGAATGCGTGAAATCCTGTTGGCATGTTATGGGAGAGTTCAGATAGGTGAAGGGGTCTAAGTCTGATTAAGATGCACTATACACAATGCACAAAAATTCAAGAAAATATACATTGAAAAAATTTAAAATTTTTAGTTTAAAAAAGCCAAAGAATGTCTTAAACATTATAAAATGTCCATTCATTCAGGCGTGGTGGCACATGTCTGGCACTTGAGAGTGGAGGCAAGAGTGTCAAGAGGTCTAAGCTCATCCTCAGCTATATAGCAAGTTGAAGACCCACCTGGGCTTCAGGAGGCCCTGCATCAAAACGTTCCATAGGAAACCAGTCCTTTCTACAATCACCAAGGCATGTTGAGGGGCTCATGGGACCCTACCCTTTCCTTCTTTGAAAACTTCATACAATATATTTTGATCATATTCATCCTCAGTTTCTCCCCTTAGCTCCTCTAAGATCTGCCCCCACCTTCCTACCCCTACAACATTGTATCTTATTTTTTAAACATTTTTTATTTATTATTTTTATTTTATGTGTATGCGTGTACCGCCCACGTGTAGGTAAGTGCACCCATGTCGTTCAATGCTGGCGGAGGTCAGAAGAGGCTGTCGGATGCCCCAGAACTGGAGTCCTGGACAGTTGCTCCCTGCTGTATGGGTGATGAGATTCAAACCCGAGTCTTCTGCAAGAACAGCCAGTGTTCTTAACCACTGAGCCATCCCTCCAGCCCCTGTATCCTCTTTTTCAAAATGTAATAACCTATTGACTCCAGATTGTGCTATACACATACTTCTGGATGTGGGCCATTCGCTGGAGCTTGTTCGACCCAGCAGGAGCTTCACCCTTAAAGAAAACTGAATCTCCCTCCCTGAGTATCTGTTCATAGCTCCCAGTTAGGGATAGGGTCTTCTGAACCCCTTCCCACTCCACGCTGTAATGATGACTGGTTTGATCTTGTGCAGGCAGCCAAAGCTTTGTGAGTTTATGAGAGCGGTGGTCTTCTCACCTGGTATTATTACTATTTTTCTTAGCTATTTTTAAAAGAAACTTACCTTGCTCTATATGTGGGTGTAAAATAGTTCTTCTAAAAGTATGATTTCTTGTCAGAAAAAAAGTATTCAATGATTCACTTGTTGCAAATTTAAAGACGCCCTAATAAAAGTTTTCAAAGTAAACTCACCTATAGTTGGTGGATAATAATCTGAAAGACACAATTTCAAACAAATATTTATTTTACTAGGTTTAAAAATTTTAATGAAAGAAACAAAAATATTTCACCATAGTTAATTGAAGTAAAAACTGCATTCCAAGATCATGCATGAGTTCTCAATATTGTTTATTTTCAGTAGTGTAGCTGTGGATAATTTCTAATTTTTCTATTGCTTTAATTTTATTTGAAAAACATTGTTAATAAATTTACCTAGAGACTTGGAAGTTTCAAAAATTCGAACTCAGTAGGTTTGGGGCAAGGATTTAAATGAGCATTTTCAATTTCATCTCACATTATTTTGAGGTAGGTGGGGCAGAGGCTGTGTTTAACAGAACACTAAGATTTACAAGACTTTAATTTCATCCTAATTGTAGTAGTGGCACTTTTATCCTGGGAGTAATCAACAACTATCTTATTAGACTTAAAACTCATTCAATGGAAGGGAATTCATGTGTGGTACTATGAACATAGGCAAATACACGTGGCTGGAGAGGTCATAGATCCTAGAGAAAAACCTACATCTGTCACCTCCCTAGATAAATGTAATTTCTTATTGTATTCTAAATATGTATCTTTATATTTACATATATATTATATATATCATTACTCATCAAAGAAGCTTCTTTTTACTTTTTAGAGCCTATTCTATGGAGACCATGACAGAGTCCCACAACTGGTCAAACACAGAGAATAAGTGTCTGTGAGATGCCCAGCCCTAAGTGACACATCTACAATGGAATCTCTACACCCAAGTTTCATGGATCATAGCAGAACAGGAGGCAGAGAGAATATTATTGTGTCACTCAACTCTCACCAGTGAAGTTTCCTCATGCAACAGATGCTAATTAACACAGAAGGCCACAACTGCCCAAAATATAGAGAATAAGAGACAATCTCTACCACCTAGGGCTCAGAGACCATTGTGGAAGAGGGAAAGGAAAGACTTTAAGTAAGAGCCAGGGATGGTGGATGACCACAGGGAAACAGAGTTTTCCAGACAGCTGGTAACTTGCTCATAGGAACTTACAGCATGCACAAGACTTATGCAAACTCAAACCAGACAAAAACCCACCATAGAACTGGAGAAATAAGTAAGAAGCCCTAACCTCAGCTTGGGAACTATTGGCAACAATCACTGCTGGGAAAGGGAGAGCTGATCTTCTTTAAGGGAGTGACACTAGATAGGCTGTCCAGGCTCCAGTGGATGAACTCATACTGAGGGACATGGGTACACAAACTTGACTCTATAGGCCTTAATATATATGACATAATGCATTAAATACGCTGGGGGCTATGGGAGGTGCAGATGAAGGAGGGGTTCTAAATGTAATGAAATTGTATTATGTTAAATGCACCAAAATTCAGTTTAAAGAGAATAAGG